AGGTTGTATGTTAGTTGTGTCAATGTGTGGAAAATATTTGTCATGTTGAAAGTATGACTGCAATCCAGTTAAAATGATTACTAAAGGCCAAACAAACTCCGTGTAAACCAAAAACCTATCCCTTCAAAAAACATTAACCGAGCATATGCAAGTAACCATGTCTCTCTTCTGGTAGCTGGAAGATGACCCAGATTGTACAGTTTTGCTGCTGAGCTGAGTGGAGGCATATTGGCTGATGGACTGTTACCTGATAGGGCTGACGGGAGACTGTCGTACCTTCTCTTCATGCTCTGGCACTCGTTCCCAATGAAAATCTAGTTTCCAATCAAAAACACCTCGATGCAGGCCCACAGAGTGATGGTACTGAAAAGTCTTCCAGTCTATGACATCTATGACAGGGGAGACGACACTGTTTCTGAAAAAGACAATATCATTTATTTTCAAAGGCAAAGCACAAATTAAGTTCACTACTCTGTTAGGGAACAGTGGTTCTCCTCTTTGACACTGTCAAGCACAAGCACTCCTCTAGATGTTGAGTGCTCTTATTTTCCCTGCTGGTAGAAGCCCAGTTGCTCAGTGCATGGCAATACTGAGCCCGCAGTGAGGAATCTAAAGATCAATAATTTATTGATAACCTGTACCTTGCATTGTCATTTAAAGCTATTCAGGATTTTGCTATGAGTTAACCATCAGAATTCTTAGAAAGCTATTTCACGCAGAGGCCCCAACCTCTGATGTTATAGGATCTGGAATGGATGCAAACTTTACAGCAAAAGATGATTTTGGCCTCACACAGTTTACCATCCTTTGATTTTCCTGTACATGTTCCACACACTTCATGAGTTTGTCACTTCAGGCCAATGAAGAGTGCACCTATCCTTATTTTGTTCTGCTGGTTGTTTTGCAAAAACATTTATCATCGAGTTCATAAACCAGTTTCTGTTTGTATTTTATTACAAGCTTAAAATGCTCTTGCAAATGCACTGTCACAGTGTGGAATCTACTTTTAAGAGCCAGAACAGAGCCATTGCACCACAAGCCATTGCACCAAACTCCTCCAATTCATTTCTAACTTGAGTTATATTTGGGTTAGTCTGAGAAGAGGCATTAGACATTTCCCCCTGGCAAACACGTCACAGTATTTCACAGTGTGCTTGTACATCATCTTGGAATTAACTGGTAGTTCAGAAGAGCCATCAGCATTCCTTGTTTCCAGGTCCATGACGTATCACATTTAGAAATTTTCAGAGTATAAATGCAATGGTATTAGGGACTGCAGGGAAAAAAGTGTTGAATAACAACATTATCAATTTCTTCTCCGTTATGCAAAAAGGATAGTCTCTGGTCTCAGTGTAAGGACTTGCCTACAGACAGAAGTTCCTCTGGAGAAAATTCAGTAACATTTACTAGGGATTAAAGTACCCTGGAAAAAATTACTCTTGTTCTAGAGTAAGAGTATCCATATAGGAAATTATTCTGGAGGCAAACTTTCCCTAGAAAATAACTTCTGGTTAAAACTGAGAGAGAGAAATGAAATGGTCAATTTTGGGGCAAAAAGTAGAAGGTTTTAGCTCCTCTTTTAAAGATTTATATGTTGGTCAGAGATCACTCTTTATAGAAATATGCTTAAAACTTAATACTATCAATGAAGAAGGACATCTCAGAAGTCTCCAACGCAGTGAGCCCTTTGTACTTTTCCATGGCAGAGACCAGAACCAGCTGAGGAAGATGGTTGAGTGATGTTAATGTAATCTTGACATATCTTCTCTGCCTTTACAATCACTAATGTTTTTTCAGTATCAGGGTGGGGGGAAACTCCAAACTTTGTTTTATCACAGTTGCCATTCCTTGTAGAGAATTTTAGAAGCCCATGGAGAAACAGAGACTACTGATTGTCACTGAATTGTATGAAGATGAACTAGGCAGAGGATAGCATTAAAATGACTCAGTTATTCCTTTGTTTCCTAGTAAGAGCAGACTGCCCTATGATGAGCTAAAGGCAGAAAGATTTAAAATAGAGAAGTGATTATATTTCTCTGTTCAGGTGTAAAACCAGCCTTTGTAATATGTAATAATAGGCACTCTCAGAAACAAGCATTCGGTTTATAAATAGATGAGGAAATTTTATGGTCACCTGCAACATTTGTAGGCATGTACATTAAGGCAGTGATTTGCTGGCATTCTCCCACAGGACTCAAGAAGAAATGGAAAGAAATTATGCCAAAAATAATAAAGCTGATATCCTCCCCTGATTCTCTTGATGATACCCCTGTGATATAGTTTTGTATCCAGGACAGGAGCAACTACCTTAAACTCAAGGCAGCAGGAGCCTTTCTACTGAAAGTTGTATTTAACCCTTACTCACTAACAGCACAAAAAGGAAACCAACTGCTTCTAGAAGTTACTAAAAGGTAGTGTCCTGATGGACTCACACAAGCAGGTGTTTTTTCTTTGATATGCTGAGAAAAATCTATCTAACAAGTTAAATGGATTTTATATGACTAGACTTCAAAAAACAAAAAGTCACTGTAATTGTAATTTCTACAGACTGCTGCATTCTCCAGTGTACAAGTATCTCTGACAACTGTCTGGTTAGGAGTGTAGTTGGAGTCGTATACTTCCCACCTCAGTTTGTTGCTACTTGCTGAAATGCATGCTATCTATTGCTACTTGTTTATCCATTCTCATCCAGACAGGACTGAGGAACTAATGACCCCAGGGTAGTTTATTTTACAATTTCAGAGTCAAGAGGGAAATATCAGGAGGGCGTATTTGAGTGGAAGCCGAAGGAGGCAATGTAGACTAAACCATAAAAAAACCTTGACCATGAAGACTAGACCACATGTGCATATCCAAGATAGTTCAGACAGAGACAATGTGGATACTCAGTTACACTCAGATATATTCTGGATCAGATATATTCTGGATCAGATGATCCAGACATTTCAGACTTTCCTACGTTCTCATATAATTTCAGCCATTTAAAACCTGTCCTTTTTGGATCCACCTTAAATTTGTTGCCACTATAAAACTCCAAACTCCAATGATGCTTCTAGCATCAGTGCAATTGCTCATAAGAGTAAGCACCGCAGTAGTAGTTCTGGTTGAAATAATCCTTTCTTTTTAATGCATGCTTTTGCTTTGCTTGTTATTGGGCATTAATTCTTCAATGCCATTCAAGAAAAATACCTGCAGTGATGTAATGGATTCTGATGGTTTGGAGACCAAGCAATTATCCAAACTATCTGCAAATTATGACATGGAAAATTACAGTGTTTAAGACAGCTGAAAATAACTCATGGGATAGGTCACATTCTACCCTGGCTAAATTCAACAATAAACCAGAACAAAATAAAATCTAATCTCCTTTCCCACAAAATTACACAGTACAAACTGATAACTGTGTTTTAGAGCTATTACTCTAGTAGCTCTTTCAGAATGCCAAGATTAACAGTTTTCAAGAGTATGTTTGTAAGTGTAATGCTAGATCTTCACCTAGTGTAAACTGGCATAGCTCTGCTCAAACCAATAGAAACGCACCTTCTTAAAACTTCAAATATTGGGAGTGTTTTTCTGATCCGAAATAGAGGAATCCAGTAACTTTATCTTGTGTGAAAACTGGTCAATGTTCAATTTTAATCTTAATCAAGCAATGCTTTACCTATCTTTTGGTATTAATGCTTTTTTTATAAAAGATCTGTTTTCTGCATATTTAGTGATCATCTGATGTTTGTGTGGTTCTAAATGCAAATTTGCAGCAGCAGGTAATTGAAAGTTGGAAGACATTCTTAGCTATTCTTTTTGTTTTTAACTGGGTAACTGGCAGACAGTCAGCAGCTTCTCGGCACTTTGAAATGAAACACACACTGGCAAACTACTGCTAATTTTACTCTGTGGAATCCAGGGAAAGGAAAAAACAGGAAATTCAAATACAACTAGCAGCAAGGCTTTGAACTGTTTGACTAATTTGTGAATATTTCAAATGCTTGGAACACACATGAACTACAAAAGGTCACAATTCTATGAAAAAGAGCAACCCAAACAAGAACAATTTCCTGGTTTGGGATTTCTCAACCAAATACAATTGCAAATGAAATGTCTTCCCATGACCCTTTACAGTCACCATGGACGTTATGTTCTTTTCTATTTTTAGAATAAGTAACATGAGGAGAGGAAGATTTAATTAACACATCTGTTTTGAAGTTTTAGATACAGTTTTTTGGAAGTGCTTTTTATTGATTTATACTTTCTTTTGCTGGGAAGGGAACAGATTTTAATCTGTTTTAATCCCCCTTTAAATAAGGAGGAACAAAAAAACCAAACATGAAAATGATGTATTTTCCTCAACCAGATTCAGAGTGGATCGTTCCCTGCAAAAATTAGATAGCTAGGAAATCCAGGCAGTCCAAGTTCTCTGGCTCTGCACGTAGTCAAAACTTCAGCAAGCAACTGAGAACCCAAGCTGGTTCCACAGCATGCTGCACTTTCACTGAAAGCACCTGGCTGGCTGGCTGAAGTCTTCAGGGAAATAGTAATGCAAAACATTCAAAATTAGATAGGGCTAATAAAAAGATAAAATGCAGTGATCAGGAATGGTAAAGCTATGGTATAAAGTATTACTTAAATACTGCCTTACAGACCAACTGCAGACTAACTTAGGGCATATGAACTGCCTCCTTGAATTGATGGACTACTCATATGCTAAGCACTGAACATATACTTCAAATCTCTGCTAGGTAGAGTGCTAAGGGAATGCTTTATTTAAAAAAAAAAACCAACTTTTGAACCTGTCTTTTTTGTTAAAATATTCAAATTTGTATGTGGGGTACCAAAATCTGTAGGAGTGACCAATACCTTTTTATACTGGACAGTCAGGGCACTGTGCTGTGAATTATGCCTAAATCCTCATTGCTCTACTCTTGGCAGTAATTATGGCTTTTTGCTTTTTGCTTTAGATTCTCATCTTCAGTTTCTTTACCTCAACTTCTTTAAAATAGGTCACCTACTGATCCTGATCAACTGTGAAAGATTGTAAAGAGATAGCATATCTTCACATACCATACCATGTAAATGCAGAACATTAATTTACTGAATTTGGAATGAGTGTTATCAACAAATGGAGGATATAAAAGGATCAGGCAAAAAGAGAAGTCCCAGGAAGCAGGCTGTTCTATGTGAAGTATATGGAAGGTTTTCAAAACAAGGAGAGTGGCATGGACATGCATGCTCAGATGCTGGGGTTGTGTGGGCTCTGGATGGATAACATCATGCTTCCGTGAGCCTGTGAGAAGGTAGAAAACAGATGGCTTACGGTAGCTCAAAAAGCTGAGGTATGGGCCACTGAGAAGCGTAGAATCAGATTAAAAGAGATGAAGGAGCTGTTCAACTTTAGTGCAAAAGACTTCCCTTCTCTCTAGTGTATTACCATAAAACCAGAACCACACAGAAATTTTCTGGACAGCAGAACTCTGTTTCTATTCCTGTACGTACAAGCAGAGGCTCCCCTTCACTCCTGAACAGGAGCAAGCAGTGGATGAGATACCTTTCCACTGCTATGTTCATTTCTTAGTCTGTTTAACAGCATTTTCATTAAAGATTAGTGACCTAGAATCATGGTGCTAAGCAGAGGCACTTGGAATTTTAGAAACTAGATAGGCTTCTTTTAATAATTTCACAGGCTTCTGTTTCCTAACGTAATATTTGAGCTGTGGTATAGGCAGTGCACCAGCACAGAGGGAAACAGCCCTCGCAACGAGGAGCAGGGGAAAGGTCCTAAAGGCAAACTACCCCTTTGCAAGCCACCCCTCTGTCACAGTTATAGTGCCCATGCCTTTTTTAGAGGTGGAATTCCTTGTCAAGGATATAATCAAGGCTCATTTTGTTTTCATGCAGTATTCTCAGGAACCACAGTTGGGATCTTTTTTTTAAAAGTCATCCTGCTTCAGCATGATGGTTGCAGTTTTTAGGTTAAAGAAACAACCTTTTCAAGGCTTCATGGCACAGTTTGTTACATGCCCCCTCTGCCTTTCACTGCCTTTGGACTGAATACAAAACAGCAGCTGTCTCCTGCAAAAGGCAAACCCCTCAAAAGACGACTGTAATAATTGCACAGCTGCATTACTATGCACCATGCTACTCACCTGGAATTATCCTGGAACACAAACAGTTGTCAAATGAAATGATCTGTGGGGCATCTCCTGTGGTTTCTAATGTTGTCCAGGTGCCTATGGTATTCATCCTCAAATAATCAAAATGTCAAGGGATGCTTTACAAACCGCTGAACCATTCTCTAGGCGGTGTACTAAGCTGATGCACAGCTTCCCAGGCAATTTGTTAGGGATGGTTCACAGAACTAGTCCCAATCAAGGTGCCCATAAATGCATGTGTAATGATTTTAGAAAGACTCAGTACTTTTGGGGAAAATAATTTTGATTGGGTTAGCGAATAAAACCATCGTGTGGGGAGATGAAATGTCATCACCCAGAGCAAGTCAAGTATCTGTCAAATATTTCCATACCTGTAAAATTGGGATAATTTTTCTCGTGTTTGTCCTGTCTGTCATTACCACAGGCTACTCAGAACTGAGGGTATCTCCCTTTTTGTCAGTATGTTCAACTTACAGTGAGGTCTCAGTTTGGGCAAGGATCTCTCGGCATCACTCTAAGACAGGTCACAATAATAGTGGTAGATCTGATCAGGAGTCTAGAAAATTAGGCTTAATCACAATTTTCAAAGTTAAAATCTCCCTTCAGCTCTGCTAAGCTCCTGCAAATGTTTGAGCTTTGGAAAAGCTGCATTTTTCCTTGCCAGCAAACAACTCACTCACTCACTCTAGGTGATTAAGTGTTTTCCCATCCTGTCTCTCCAGCAAAAGTGCATGAGTTGCAGCTTGACTGGTACATTAAGAAGAGGAATGATGGATATTTCACCAGTCACTGTAAGCTTTTTTTCAATGTACTTTCCTCATTTGGGTAGTCTCAGGGAGTGCGCATCATTCAATTTAACAGCTCCTCAACTGCTAAATGAAGCCAAGTTGACTATGCTAATGCTTTACATTTCCATAGTGATCTCCATGCAAGCATTACAAGCAGTTTGGGAAAAATCATGAATTAACTTCCTTATCAGGTCAGTGTTATTATCACCATTCTTCAGCTGGGAAAGAAGGACAGCAAGGGAAAGTGATTGCCAGATGCCTTAAAGCATGTCTTCCCTGTGCACTGGAGAATGGCACAGGTTCTCCACACTAGCAGTGACAAAGCTTCCAGGGTCAGATACAGTGACTGATACAGTATACAGAAAGGGATGGTTTAGACCATACTGTTATCCAAACATCCTTCTACCTTTGCTCCATGGATTCAATTAGCCATTAGCTAACTCAATGTTAAATTCTGCTCTCCTGGAGGAATGAATGAGCGTATGAGCCCTATAGGGGAAGAGAATCCCTTTTTCACCCCCTGGTGACAGTGGGGTGAAATCTCAGAGCTGTGGTAGGCTTGGTGGCTTTGCATTCCCTTAGCAGGGATAATTTTTGACAGTGAGTCACTACAATTGTGGTGGGGTCCTAACTTCTCTCTTGCCATTGTAAATCCCCCTTCACTATAGCTCTCCTCTGAGACTTTTTGTAACTCCTTCAATTTCAGCAATACAACCTTGAATAAGGACTGGCCAATTGATACAGGTAGGAGTTTTGCATGAACATCAACAATAGACTATAGCTCAAGGCAGAAGAATCATGAAGTATATTCATAATAAACCATCTAATAAGTCAGCAGACAAAAAATAATCTGCTTTTCCAAGGAGGATCTTTTAGAAAAGAATAGTCCTGACATCCTAGGACAGTATTACTCTTGCTTGCAGTATTTGTAATGTTTTCATCCAAATGATGTAATAATTTCTAAAAACTCAAATTAATTCTCTTATAAGCAAACATAATCAGCCACAAAAGCAGCTTGTTCCAGTGCCTGGGAACAGCCTTTGAAGGTCTTTAGTATGACTATTTAATGGTTGGTAAGAGTTTTAAAGATGTATTTTTTCTTTTACCCCGTCAAGCAATTATTCATTTTTTCTCAAGTGGCTTATGGCTAATGATAGACAAGTTAATGTACACATTTTTCTTTCAGAAAAGTCCCTTTAATAAAGGATTTACTGCTATGTAATTCTTGAAACATTTTCAGTGATTTGATCTCTTTGAAGGACTTGGGGACTGCATAATGGGCTCAGCTGTACATTAGAGAGCAGGCCCAAGCACCAACCTAAACATGAAAGACTCGGAAAATACCAATCTGTACCTTCCTCTGTCAGTTTGGTGTCAGTGAAAGTACCTGTGATTATCTAGAACTGTCTAGGCTGCCCAGAAAGTCTATTTTTTCTGTGGAACAGAGACGGTACAGGTGACATTGGTATGTAGCCAAACTGGCTCAGGAGGACAAAGCATTTTATGCTTGGCTTCATGACTGAGACAGCTAAAAAGTAAAAAAAATGGAGTCTTGCAGTAGTTTCTTTGGTGGATGTTTGCCAATTTCCAAGCAGCTTGAGACTGCAACTTTTTTAATTCAGACCACCAGGCAGCCTTCTTATAGCTCTAAGTGGATACAAACTCTGACAGTTCAGTGATACTGTGTGTGCAGTGAGGGTTATCAGCTGTGTGACCTATCCTGCTTCCCACATATCAGTGATGCATATGGTGATAAGGTAGAAAATAAAAGCAATGTGACCAGAAGGAAGAAGGTAACAAAGAGAGGATAAAAAAACCACCCAAATCTTTCCAAGTACATCTCTTTCAGCAGAAATTAGCATATGCAGGGAGCTCAGAGGTCACGGGGATATTTACCGGTTGCTGGACAGCCTGGCTAGGAGAGGCTCCAGCCAGCCCTTCTGACACTCGCAGTGTGAATCCATGAAGACGAGCACATCCCCGGTTGCCCGTGCAGCTCCTAGCATCCGACCTCGGATGACTCCAAGCCTCTTGTTGCTCCGGATGAGTTTCACACCATCCAGCTTAGAGATGTATTCACTCAGAGCTGACTTCAGGGGCCCTGTCAGAAACAGAACGGTCATGGAAATGTTTTAGCTTTGATTCAAGCTGTTATAGAAAAGCAACAGGTAGTAGGAGATGCTACTTCTTGCTGGTAAAATGTTTTGGGGGCATTTGTTTTACATGGCCAAGTAGGCCACATTCCAAATATTCCCGCATCAGCATAATGTCAAAGAGAAGTAGAGACTAATGGAAACTGAGATTCACTAGATGTGAAGATATTCCTGTGGGAAACTTAATAGCTTCCTCTCCTGTTTTCAGCAAAAGGTGGATGCTCTCATCATCACACAAAAGGTGCAGATCAGAGTGAGATGCTACAGGTGTTTGGCTTTCCCAAGCGCTTTAGATTACTTTAGCAATGTGGAGTTTTCCACTCTATGCTTCAGCCAAAGTCCAAGCCTGGAAATTATTACAGCAGATCTGGTCCAGTGGGAAGGCTAAGATTTGCATAGTGTGATCTTATTTTAAAGTAAGAAAATTCAGAGTGATTGGAAATGATGGGGAAAAAAGAAACATATTTCACAGTTGAAAGGCTAAGCTGAATTCTAGGGATGGAAGAGTGAAACCTGGCAGCCAGCTCAGGGCTCTGCTTAGCTCTCTTCCTGAGAGCCCTCTTTGCCTTCTACTCTCCTCACGCACTTCTTGGAGGAGGACAGTTTCTTCCCTGAAGAAAGAGCTCACATACAGAGAAATGGGGACTACCTTGCTGGCTGAGATCGTCGACTAGGATGATATCCTTGAGGGAGGCCTTAGGGGCTGTGTCCATAATGCTGTGCACAGTTCTCAGCAGAGTAGACCAGGCTTCGTCATGGAAACAGATGATGACACTAGCAGTAGGCAGACTGGAGTCATATTGTTGCTGTAGGCACCTGCATGGGATCAAATGAGGGAGACACTAGAAACACTGGTACAACTGGCTACTTGTCTCTCAGAGCAAAGCTGTAAGCTACACCTAAACCTTCAGGGATGGAAAGCAGTTTAAGATATCAGCTCACTTTTAACGAAGCAAAGGAAGTATTAAGATGTCCGAGACCGGAATACAAAGTGAAAATATGGGAATGACATTATAAAAATTAAAATGCAAGAATAGGAATATTTTTCTGTATTCCAGGATACTTTCTTCTGCTCTGGCTGCCTGAAAATACACAGCTCAACAAAAATGGTCCAGAAGGCAAAGAAAGAGAAACTGAAGACAATTAGAGCAAAGCAGAGAGGGGGACAAAGCAGGTCAGTCAGCCTCCACCAATTTCCACATTTTCTCAGGTAACACAGAAAAGAGTAAACTGAAATGCAGTACCTTTAAGACTAACAAGTAAAATAACTCATCTGCACAACAGATTGGTATACCTGTGGACTGCCTGACCAGTGACTGAAGCCAACATCTCAGTCCTGTATAGGAAAGAAATGGATCCTTACATGGGCAATGAAAACAAATGTAGATACATTTAAGAAAGTAAATGTATTTT